GAGAGAGAGAGAGACAGAGAGAGACAGAGAGACAAAGAGACAGAGAGAGGACATGTGTGTGTGTGTGTGTATGGAAGTACGTGTGTGTGTGTGTGATGTGGGTGTGTGGAGGGCTATGTGTGTGTGTGTGTGAGGGTATGTGTGGTGAGGAAGGTGGCACTTAGGTGTATTACATCAACATTTCTCTGCTTTGGATTTCCTTCATTGTACCAGGTAAATACAAATGTAGCTATCTTGAAATTGCTTCCTGAAAGCAATCTATAAAACATGTGCTTATAGAATTGCACACAGCCCTGAACCCTTCCGTAAATCCAAGCATATCCGGCAGTGCTGTAGCTGGGTTTTGAGACTGACAGTGCAGGAGGGGTTCATTTTCAGAGCCCAGTGCTCCACCTGCTTGAATGCTGTTTGAGGATCCATACACTTGCTTGGGTCACCGCTTCGTAAAGCCTGAGACCATGAGCCCGAAGCAACAGAGATTAGTTCTAAAGGCTGGACATCCAAGATGAATGTTGTCAGCAGGGCTGCTTTCTGTGCAGGCCTCTCCAGCTGTGAGTCCTCGTGTGGGTGTTTTGGTGCATAGCCTTCTTCATCTCTGTCTGTATCCAGTCAGGTTAGATTGGGGCTCCCGGTGTAACCTCACTTCTTATTACACCTTAAAGGCCAGGACGCCACAGTCTTGGGCCTCATTGTCTGAATACTACTATCTGTGACATATAGCAGAAGACGGTAGTGGACATCAAAGAGGAAGAGCAGACAGTGTGGTGAGGCATCCAAGTGGCCTACAACAGTCAGCCATCTTCACCCAGCACCTGGGAAGCAGGTGTACTGTGGTAAAAACTGGACTTAGGAACCCGGGTTCAGGTTCAGCCTCACGGTTGCTAATAATGCCAAAGTGGTTTATCAGCTCTGAAGGGGAGCAGCTCCCTCAGCTCAGAGCCTCTGTGGGGGGAAGATATTGGCAGGGAACATGTCAAATCTTGGTGGCCCTCTGTATGATGTGATAACTATGGTCTGCCATTCACCCTGAGTCTTCTCCTCTAAACAGATATGTGGCATCCCCTCCTGGGATTACCACTGACTTTTATGGTCCTGAGAAGAGCTTTTGATTGTCAGTAGAGACCTCTGATGATGTTCTCAGGGCCAAAGCCATCCTGTTTGCCAAATCCAGGTCCCAGCTCCCTTTTTTTGTTTGTTTGTTTTTGTTTTGTTTTAATGGTGTTTTTGAGATAAGGTCTCAAGTAGCCCTGACTGGCTTTGAACTTTCTATATAGCCAATGATGACGGTAAACTGATCCTTCTGCCTCTACTTTGCAGGTGCTAGCATTGCAGGCATGCACCACCACACCTGACATTTCTCTGTAATGTAATCAGAGCCCATGCCTAACTGAGAAAATATTCTGTATCGGCCCCCACCCCAGGTGTCCTCATTCTAAGATGGTTAAGAATTTCTCATTTATTTTTGACTATGAGTCCTGTTTCTTTGATCTTCTTTACAAATGGCTTCTTTACTCATTGATAATTATCTCATATTCTCTCTCATTATTTTTTATTGTTGTTTGTTGTTTGTTTTGGTTTTTCAAGACTGGGTTTCTCTGCATAGCTCTTGCTGTCCTGGAGCTCGCTTCATAGACCAGGCTGGCCTCAAACTCACAGACATCTATCTGCCTCTAGCTCCTGAGTGCTGGCATTAAAGGCATGCACCACCACTGCCTGGCTTCTCTTTCATTCTTAATGAACATAAAACTCCCATTATAAAAATTAACCTTTTCAAGGCCAGCAAGATGAGTTGTTAGGTAAAGGTGTTTGCTGATGAAGATGTGAGAGTGTGGCTGCACACTGCTGGAGTAAACCAGAAGTGACCTTCTCTGATGGGAACGCAGGACACAAAACCACACCCTCTGTCTTGTCATATGATACCTTCCTCTGCATTCTGAGTTATCGCCAGGGACACCCCCACATCCCTTAGTCTTCACAGCCTCTCTCTTAAACTGAGCAAAATACATTTCTGTATTAAAAATTAGCATCCTGTGGCATTCCGTTATACCAAAGGTAAGCAGGAAGACAGGGCTGGCTTACATCAGGACAGAGAAGAGATGTGGAGACAAGGAAGTTCAGTGGTGTGTGAACAGCAGCACAGAGGTATCTGGTCACCAGCCAACACCCAAACACAGACCAGGCTGGAAGAGCTCCTCCTCCCTCAGACTTGGACTTGAGAACTGAGACTAGCAGTGCTGTGTGAACCCCAATTGGTGACATCTTGTCATGACAGCTTCAGGGCACTGACCTTGCTCTCAAGCCGTGCTTCAACAACTTGCTGTTGCCTTGCTGTTCCTGCCCTCGGCAATCCAGCAATCCCGAGCCTCCTGTCTCAACACCAGCTTCCTCTCATCCCTACACTCTGCCTGGGCTGCCTCTTCTTCCTAGGACACCCTCTATGGTAAACCTTTCTCTAGTAGCTAGGTTCAGATTCCAGCCAGGAAATCCATCCCACAGGACACTTCCTCAGACTCTCTGAAACCAGGACATAACCTTGCCTGTACAGCCCTTGCAGCCTGGGCAGGGACAGTGGTACTGAGGTAGTCGTTGTCATTAGCCAGGGATGCTGTGAGGCAGAGGCTTTGGGCTTTTGCCTCCCTGTTGTCCCCAGCTGCTGGGACCATGCCTTACTCAGTCATCATCAGCACTGCCTGAAGGATGAACAATGGTAGGTGTTATCCGGTACCTTCTTAGTTTAGGCTGCTGTAAGAGAACACTGTGGGCTGGGGTTTAAATAGTAGATACTTCTCAACATTCTGGAGGCTAGGGAACCCACAGTGAAGGCACCTGTGGGTAGTGGTGCCTGGGAAGGACAGCCATCTTTTCAGTGAGACCCTAACATAATAAAGTAGGAGGCACCTTCCAAAGCCCCCACCTTGTAACCCTCATGTCAGGAGTTAGGATGTTATTTTATGTATTTGCGATGGGGACCAAAGCATCCACTCATGACGCAGGGAGCAAAGTGCTTGCAGTGCTACCAGAAGAATACGCCAGACGGGAAAGGACTGGATTTAGGGAAAGTGACACAACTGTTACTTCTGCCTCGGGTCATAAGATGACTGCCTTGTGATCTTGGCTCTAAGGTTGGTGACAGAGGAGAACGTGGGGGCTTTCCAGACAGCTTAGTTTTGAGACTTTCTGGTTTTCTCTGGGGGCTGACGGCAACTGTTTTCCTTCCTATCATATTTACAGCTGTGTCTGCTTGTAGTCTTAAGCCTGTGACCACCCCTCCCCCACACACATAGTGTCTTTTAGTTCTGGCAGATGTTGTTGTTGTTTTGTTTTGTAATCCCTTTTCTTTCTGTCTTCAGTTAGAAGATTCGATAGGTGTCCAGCTCTGAACAAAGAAGTCTCTGTGCTGATAGCCAAATTGTCACCTGTTTTTTCAGGTTCACTACAACATTGGCAAAAACCTGGCTGACCAAGGCAACCAAACAGCAGCCATCAGATATTACCGGGAAGCAGTCAGGTACATGAGTGTGTGCGTGAATCTTTACTCTCCAAGATGCCTGGCCCTTCCCTGAAGAACTCTTCCATCTTTGCTGATCTCCGAGTGTTGGGTGGAAACAAGTGAACAGTAACAGTCTGTTTGGCTTTCACTTCCAGACTGAATCCCAAGTACATTCATGCCATGAATAACCTGGGGAATATCTTAAAAGAAAGGAATGAGCTACAGGAAGCTGAAGAGCTGCTGTCATTGGCTGTCCAAATACAGTAAGCATCTTTTTCTTTTCTTAGCTTTCTGCCAAGGACAAAAAAAAAAAAAAAAAAAAAAAAAAAAAAAAAAAAAAAAAAAAAAAAGGTGGATCTCTGGGTTTGGGCAGTCATTTAATCTTCTCTTTTTCTTGTTTATTTTTTTATTTAAAAAAAAAATGCTTTCCTAGGCCAGACTTTGCAGCTGCATGGATGAATTTGGGCATAGTTCAGAATAGCCTGAAACGGTTCGAGGCAGCAGAGCAAAGCTACCGGACAGCAATTAAGCACAGGCGGAAATACCCAGACTGCTACTACAACCTTGGGCGGCTGGTAAGGACAGGCTGCCCCAATTTCCCAGCTCCTAAAACAGAACTCTCTTAAACCCATCCAGAACTCTCCACATTACAGAAACCCTCTATGTGTGTTTATCTCTTTTGAAAGTAGCAATTTGGTTTCCTAGTATGTACTGCTAAAGTTCTAATTAATGAGTCATCCAGACTGAATGAGTCCAGTTTATAAAGTCACAAAGGCAATAGATTCAATGAAAATTTTGTACGTCCCTTCTGCCCTGGGAAACATACTCCAAGGACCCACTTCCTGATAAACAATGGTTTTCGTTTTGTTTTTAAAACATGAATAGAAATTTAAGATTTAAAAACAAGCCCGTAACTGATTTCTGAACTCCCTTGTTCTCCTTCCCCAAGAGAGCAGATCTCTTCTTTTGTCAGGGGATGTTCTCCTCCAAATGGTGGCCTCGGGAGCATATATCTGAAAGGGCCTTGCAGTTACTTAATGGAACTAAAAACTAGGATGTTTGAATTGATCTGTATTTCTAGTTTTTGACAGAATATTTAAGGCAATCTGATTGTTCCTAATTTTCTTGTGTATGGAAGTTTCTGTCCCACCTGGCCTCGAACTGTTTAGTTCCAAATAAACATACAGAGGCTTATAATAATCATAAACTGTTTGGCCAATAGCTCAGACTTCTCATTGGCTAGCTATCTCTTAATTACTAACCCATTTCTGTAGGGAGACACCATAACCACGCCTCTTAAGGACTGGGTCAAGCATACCTGTAGACAGCCCTTAGGAGGCATGGTTATGGTGTCTCCCTACAAATTTCTATTAATCTACATCTCTCCAGGTGTTCTTGGCTTACCAGAGAATGCCTGGGCGTCCTACCTTCCCGGTAGCTACATCTCCTTGACTCCACCTACTACCTTTCTCTATCCCTGTTCTGATTTCCTGCCTGGCTAAATCCTACGTATCCATTGGCTGAAACAGCTTTATTCATCAACCAATAAGAGAAGCATATTCACAGCATACAAAAGGAATCCCCCATCAGCTAAGCAGCATCATTCTTTAAACAGGAGTTATTAGATTTACTAGGTGAAATTGATAAGGGAAATACTTTTGGTCTATGTGAGCCAAAGTGGATTGTATGCACAGTGATGGGACATCCTAAAAAAAAAAAAAAAGTATAAGCTTCACAAGTAGGTAAAATTAACAGGTTCTTAAAAGCAAACAGCTTGTTTATCCCCATTTGAAATACCTGAGGCGTCTTCATATTATGCAGTCTTTGTGTAAACAAAACCAGTATTCCCCACGTTGGTTCTTCATCCAGACAACCCACCGCATCTCATATTTGATAACTGATAGTTCCCATATAACATTTGTATTTTCTACAAAAGGTAATGAATGTTCCCCTGCCTCTGGGAAGCATCCCTCTCTGAACCCTGAACTTTGACCTGAAGACCATGTCAAAGCAGAAGGGAAACCGTAAAACTGGATGTTTGGTTTTTTGGTTTTTGTGGGGTTTTTTTTTTGGTTTTTTAAAATTTTAATAGGAAGAATAGGCTTCTATTTTTACCGTTATACAAATAACTTTGGCCTTTAGTGAGTTTGCTTCTGGAATGGTGTGCCATGATCTTGTGAAGTGCATAGGTAGAATGAACCGAGGAAAAGAAATGTCAGGTGTAGGGGTGACTTTCTCAGGATGGACCGAGGGCCCTCCTGCAGGCCACGCAAAGGGAGACAAACCAGGGGAGGAGATGAGGGGTGACTTTCTCAGGATGGACGGAGGGCCCTCCTGCAGGCCACGCAAAGGGAGACAAACCAGGGGAGGAGATGAGGGGTGACTTTCTCAGGATGGACGGAGGGCCCTCCTGCAGGCCACGCAAAGGGAGACAAACCAGGGGAGGAGATGAGGGGTGACTTTCTCAGGATGGACGGAGGGCCCTCCTGCAGGCCACGCAAAGGGAGACAAACCAGGGGAGGAGATGAGGGGTGACTTTCTCAGGATGGACGGAGGGCCCTCCTGCAGGCCACGCAAAGGGAGACAAACCAGGGGAGGAGATGAGGGGTGACTTTCTCAGGATGGACGGAGGGCCCTCCTGCAGGCCACGCAAAGGGAGACAAACCAGGGGAGGAGATGAGGGGTGACTTTCTCAGGATGGACGGAGGGCCCTCCTGCAGGCCACGCAAAGGGAGACAAACCAGGGGAGGAGATGAGGGGTGACTTTCTCAGGATGGACGGAGGGCCCTCCTGCAGGCCACGCAAAGGGAGACAAACCAGGGGAGGAGATGAGGGGTGACTTTCTCAGGATGGACGGAGGGCCCTCCTGCAGGCCACGCAAAGGGAGACAAACCAGGGGAGGAGATGAGGGGTGACTTTCTCAGGATGGACGGAGGGCCCTCCTGCAGGCCACGCAAAGGGAGACAAACCAGGGGAGGAGATGAGGGGTGACTTTCTCAGGATGGACGGAGGGCCCTCCTGCAGGCCACGCAAAGGGAGACAAACCAGGGGAGGAGATGAGGGGTGACTTTCTCAGGATGGACGGAGGGCCCTCCTGCAGGCCACGCAAAGGGAGACAAACCAGGGGAGGAGATGAGGGGTGACTTTCTCAGGATGGACGGAGGGCCCTCCTGCAGGCCACGCAAAGGGAGACAAACCAGGGGAGGAGATGAGGGGTGACTTTCTCAGGATGGACGGAGGGCCCTCCTGCAGGCCACGCAAAGGGAGACAAACCAGGGGAGGAGATGAGGGGTGACTTTCTCAGGATGGACGGAGGGCCCTCCTGCAGGCCACGCAAAGGGAGACAAACCAGGGGAGGAGATGAGGGGTGACTTTCTCAGGATGGACGGAGGGCCCTCCTGCAGGCCACGCAAAGGGAGACAAACCAGGGGAGGAGATGAGGGGTGACTTTCTCAGGATGGACGGAGGGCCCTCCTGCAGGCCACGCAAAGGGAGACAAACCAGGGGAGGAGATGAGGGGTGACTTTCTCAGGATGGACGGAGGGCCCTCCTGCAGGCCACGCAAAGGGAGACAAACCAGGGGAGGAGATGAGGGGTGACTTTCTCAGGATGGACGGAGGGCCCTCCTGCAGGCCACGCAAAGGGAGACAAACCAGGGGAGGAGATGAGGGGTGACTTTCTCAGGATGGACGGAGGGCCCTCCTGCAGGCCACGCAAAGGGAGACAAACCAGGGGAGGAGATGAGGGGTGACTTTCTCAGGATGGACGGAGGGCCCTCCTGCAGGCCACGCAAAGGGAGACAAACCAGGGGAGGAGATGAGGGGTGACTTTCTCAGGATGGACGGAGGGCCCTCCTGCAGGCCACGCAAAGGGAGACAAACCAGGGGAGGAGATGAGAATGAAAACCTGGTACAGATTGACTTTGTCAACCTGGATTGGACTTCTGGGAGTCTGATGCCAGCCAGGTGGGTCATTGTCAGCGTATTTAAAACACAGTACAGCTGTTTCCAGGCAGCAGTCAGTGAAATTCCAGGTCCACGATAAAGCTTCAAGTGTGACTATATGGAAACTCCGCTACAGAGTTCTATAGTAGAAAGGTCTAGAATCTAGTGTGGTCTCCAGCCAACAGCAGAGGTCAGCAGGCCAGTAAGTACATACGGCATCTCCCCTAAGGATGGGTAGTGACCTACAGAGAGAAGAATCTGGGATAATCATTCTGGGAAATTTGGGTGAGGGCTGCCTCTGTAGCAAACAGTGGGTGAGGACTGCCTCCACAGAGAGCAAAAGGTCACCAGGTCATTAACAAAATCCACTCCCAGCCTTCTGGGTAGGAAAACAAGTATTTTGTCTCCACCATTGAGAAGAGGCCCCTGTGTGTTAACATTCCTGTTTTCCCTAGCAACCTGTGCTTGCAAGGACCTCTGTGCCCCCAACACTGGACAAGTCGCTTTAAGTGGGCAAATAATGTTTGTATTATAAATTTTAAAATGATGTCGCTTAACGTGTTTTTTATTGAAAAAAAAAAACACTACAGTTGTTTTAGTTAAGTACAATAGGAAGACACCTTCTCCAGAAGTCTATTCCATTGCCAACAAGAGGAGTTGCTTCCTCCAGGGCACCGTAGAGAGGTGACAGCAACATGATTGACCCCAGAGATTTGAACACAGGTCGAGCATGGCGTTCTCTGGTCCTCATTGGCTGTCTCCATGACTACTGGGCCCCAAGTGCTGCTTTCACGATTCAAAATACATTGCTTTATAATGATACAGACATCTACCCTCAAGAAGTACTAATCTCTCCTAGGGATGTGCCGGGGGTGGAGGGCACTTTAAAACCTCATGATGATGTCCATAACCTCAATCACAGACAAACCGGGCCAGGTCCTCAGAGCTGACAAAGGGAGAAAGTGCTGCTTGGAGGGAGCAGATGTATTAACCTAAGTCTATGCATGCAGGTGTAGTCACTGTCTCTTGTTTGCTGGAGATTTGGTCCTTGTGAAGTCTTTGGTGTTTTCCCCTCTTCTAGAGGTAGTTCCTTTCAGGTATTGCTCGAAAAAGCACTTGTGTCCACCTGCAACTTCAACATTAGTTGTCACTTCCTCCCTACACGCTGCCTGTCACTGCTATTAATTGGAATTTAGAAAATGGGATTTGTGCTAAATGAGCCCCGGTAGGAGTAGCACCCAGAGAAAAGGACACAGAACATAAAAATACAAGCTTGGATGGTGAGCTCTAGACTTGGGGCTTCATGATGCTTTTCCTTGGATGACCAATCATAGCACTGAAACGATGGATACCTCAGAGTTGTTTACTTATTGTGCTGCCCTGAGATGGCATTAGTTAGGGCCTGTTGTGTAAGGCTCTTGCTCTCCATTGTGGTTTAATTATCCAGCCTTTGCTTTCGACAGCTTAAAAGCATTAAGGCTTAATCTTCAACAGCTCAACCTGCCCTGTATATATCTGAAAATAAGAGGAACTTAATAATCTCAGGGTGTCCATTTTAGGAGTCATGTTTTTATAATGGGACACAGATGCTTGCTTTGATTTGTGGATTTGATAAGAAGAGGATGTAATGCGGTTATAGAGGAAATAGGAAGAGCCGGGTTGTTTGGGGTCATACTGCTGATCCTTGAGGGTGGTGGTGACAGTGGCTTGGAGGAGTGCTGGGGGCTGTTCACTGTGCAGAAGTTGGTCATCTATGTCAGTCACAGGCTTTAGAAAAGAGAAAACATGCTAAGTGTTTTAAACCGGGAAGCCTTAGCAGAAGGACTTGTTGTTGTAGGAAGAACAAAAATGGAAACGCATTGGTGATGCAGAGATAATAATGAAAGGAAACCCATAGGTTTGGGGGAAGCATGTGGCTGGAAGGAGGAAAGACCACAGCTCCCAGACCTGGGACAGTGGAGGAGAGGGTGATGGGAGGAGGAGAAGGTCAGGATGCAAATGGAAAACACCTGGTTCTCTGGCCTTGACTTTCTGAGGCTGACAAAAAGGTGTAAAGGACCCAGAGCAGAGTATGGGATGCATGAAGGGCTGGTGGGTGAATAACACCTCTACTCCCTGTTGCGTATTACATCACCAAGTTTCTCTGTTTTATTTTTTATTTTTCTTTATTATGTGTCTTTTACATCATGTATCTTGATCCCATTCATTTCCCTGTCTCTTTGCATCCATCCCTCTGCCCCTGCACACACCCCCAAATAAAACAAAATTTAAGAGAAAAAGGGGAAAAAAATCTTTAAAATCTCATCATGGGAGCTGCAGTGTGACATAGTGATCACGCAGTAAACCCCTTGATTCAGCCTTCAACAAGCAGTAATAACAGTCAGAATAATAGTGGGGATGAGCTGGGAACGTGAGGACTTGTGCTGTATGAGGAATTTGCAGTGTCACCACTGCCTGTCTAGGTGACTCACATCTGTGTTACATACTGGAGAGAACAGGCTTGAGACATCCTGTACCGAGACCAAGTTTGATGTTCAGTGTATTTAAACAGCCCTATTTATTTGAATTTTTATAGTGTTTCCTAATGGTTTAAAGGATAAAATATTGCAACCTGATAGTCTAAGCCTCATGAGAAATTTGAGGAATTCTGACACTTTTAACAAAAATGTATTTGTAAATCTTTTCATAATTCACTAGACCTTATGTCAGCTATTTGTTGCGTGGATCATAGGGCAAGTCAAAATGTTTGTTTCCCCATTGGAACGTGTACTTAGTAAGCAGGAAGGAAATAATAACCTAAGCTGCCATAGATTGCTGCCATTTGAAATTTGTGCCAAGTTCCAGGGAAGGACATTCAGATGAAATGTGCAGATGCTCACATTCTCTTCTTTCCAAGCAGGCAAAGAATATCCAAACTGCTGATGCATTTCAGTGACCATGTGGGTCTTTTCCAAGGAGTTTACAAAATATATCTGAATGGCTCACATTTTTATCTTGAGTTTAGATATCCATAAGAGGTTTCTAAACCGTGTTCTGGGGTTGCGTGTGTAAGCACTTGACCCTTGGAGCCGTCTCCCTGGCCCACTACAATGTTCTAGTTACACAAAATACTTGTTTCCTGTCCTAAATAATACTTTATTAAAGATAGACTATAGGGGCCTTTCTGGAAAAAAGAATAGTAGTATTTCGCAGTAGCTGGAAATGTTACTTTATAACTGTGATCAGCAAATAATAGGTTATACAGTTGCGTTTCTTGACTTAAGACCCAGGCCACCTGGATCCAACCCCTGACCTTCCATCTCTAGACATGTGGCTAAGCAAGTCACTGGTTTTCCTGTTATCTCAGTTGTTGCATCTGTAAAGTGGGGTTGTAATGACACCTACTTCACTGGGGCCGTTGTTGTTGTTGTTTTAAGTACATGGGTTGATAGGAAAACCGAGAAGCTCCGTAAGTGAAGGTACGGTGGGGCTTCCAGTTTCTTTTGTGGGACTTTATTTGTCCTTGCTGGCAATTTTGTAGAAGGGGAAAAAGACAGGAGAGTTGGGATGTTGACTTTGGGGGATATTTTGTGTACAGTATGCAGATCTGAATCGCCACGTGGACGCATTGAACGCATGGAGAAATGCCACCGTACTGAAGCCGGAGCACAGCCTGGCGTGGAACAACATGATCATACTCCTGGACAACACAGGTGCAGAGGGGAGGGAGACTGAGGTGGTATTCCATCACCCAGTTCTGACCAATGTCATCCCCACAGGCTAATGGGACACGTAGACTAGTGCTGTTCCTTCAGTTTAAAAAAATAAATAAGATGGGCACGGTGCTACCCACCTTTGATCCCAGCACTTGGGAGGCAGAGGCAGGTGGATCCCAGCGTTTAAGACCAACCAGGATGACATAGTGAGACTGTAAGCAAAGAAAGAAGGCGGAGGGAAGAAGAGAGGAAGAAAACCTGGTGTTACTTGGTGTTAACAAAAATGTCTGTTTTTATGGGGGCAGTGATACGACTCAGTCAGTAAAATGCTTGCTGAGCAAGCATAAGGACCTAAGTTCTACTCTGTGCACCCACATAAAAAGCCTAGGCATGATAGCAGATACCTGTAACCCCAGCACTGGGGAGGTGGAGACAGGAGAATCCCTGGGGGTTCACGAACCAGCTAGACTAACCAACTTAGTGAGCCCCAAGTTCAGTGAGAGACCCTGTCCCTGTGTCAGAAAGTAAGGTGGAGAGGGTGAAGAAGACACCTGATCCTGACATCTGACCAGCCCATGTGACAGCACCCTGACACACCATAATACTCACGTCTGCTTTTCTAGAAAATGAAGTTCCTTCTGACACATCTGAATTAGTGTGTAACTGGTATCTGGTAGAAAAGTGTAGCACAGCTTCCTAGAATGTCACGGGAAATATTCACCTCTCTGGTCAAAATTGTGCTGAGCTGCCACAGCCCTCCCACTCACTAGGCTTTGAGTCGTCTTCACGTGTTCTGCTTGGGTCTCTTCAAGTAGTGTTTTCCTGGTCATATGTGACGCGTGTAAGTCCTTCTCTAGAGATACAAAGACACATGTGCACTGTTGATGTGGTTTTCATTTCTTCTCCCAGGTAATTTAGCCCAGGCTGAAGCAGTCGGGAGAGAGGCACTGGAATTAATTCCTAATGATCACTCTCTCATGTTCTCCTTGGCAAACGTGCTGGGCAAAGCCCAGAAATACAAGGTGCGTAAACCACAGGCCTTGATATCCTGCAGTTATTCCAGCAGGGGGCGGGCCCCGCCACTGTTTCTTATGTCCCATTGGGCTGGAGGGGGCCACAGGAGAGCTTGGTCAGTTTGCTTCCTGAAGAAGTTGCCTAACAGAAGGACTGTGGGGTCAAACCCAGTGTCCTTCCTCATCAGCAGCAGGCCTGTTCCTTGTGGAGAGGGAAGGGAAACCGAGGCGGGGAGCGTGAGGAGGATGGGCTGCTGGTTGTCTGTCCTGTGCTACAGGACTGGTGTCATCCCATCCCTGGTATCTCCCTCTCCCTTTGTGTGAAGAGTCTGACCCTGCCGCATGCAGTCAGGCAGGAGTACTAGGGTTGTCTATGGGTACTGTCTTTTGTATTGTATATAGCTGGTTAACATGGCTGCCAAGGTTTCTCCGTGTCATCAGCAAGGCCCTAGAGGTTTTTGACCTATGAAAACCACAAAGTCTTAACTCTGGTACTGAGATGCAGCTCTGTGGTAGAGGGCTTGCCTAGGATGCTTGAGGTCCTGGACTTGACTGATGGGGAAGTACTTCTGTGTATATTTATCTTATTGATTGTTAAATAAAATACTGTTTGGCCAATGAGACAGCAAGTTAGACAGGACCAGGGGTCAAAGAGGATTCTGGGAAATGTAGTAGACAAGTGGTGATCCAGGCAGGAAGTGACATAGCAAGGAGACTCATATTTAGCAAGGAGAAACAAGAAGTGTCCCCTTTTTCCCCTTTGCCTCCTCCAGCGGCAGGATGTGAGCCACCGGCAAGAGAGGGTGCCAGCAAAAGGCATCCTCTATAAAGATGGGTCTTGTGACATGTATGGATTTATGATGGTTAGGACTGAGCTGGCAGATGGGAGGTCCTGGTCGTTGGCCGGGCAGCTTTGAACCTAATACAAGTCTCTCTGTGCATTAATTGGGGCCCTAACTCAGGAGGGCGGCTGGCGTAAAGTGCACACGTGGTGGTGGGGCTTGGGCGGCTTTGGTGGAAAGATTTATTGTAACACTTGACCTCCAGCCAGACACACACACACACACACACACACACACACACACACACACACACACACACACACCCCTACCTCTTCCACTTCAAGAATGGCAAATGGTGGGCTGGGCATCACCCCCTGTGTCTTTCAGGGAACTGTGGGTCTATGGGACTATTGACCCCACACTCTGATTTTTTGCCTCCGAATTGTTGAGGGAGCTTATTAATACAGATTGCTCCCCAGGAGAACCAGCCTGGAGTGGGTGAAGTCAGGGGTATTTCTTTCTAACTGGCATCTTGGGCACCCCACACAGAAAGCCTTGGAGCTACTTTGAGAAGCAGTCCCATGACCTTTGGAGGAAGAAATATTTTAGGATTGTGGGCTGATAGATATTTGAGTTACCACCTTAAAATACCAATTAATATTTTATTGATATTTCATATTAATATTTTATTGTGAATAATTTTATTTCAGAATTGTAACAGCTATGTGTTATTTTGGGCACCCTGAAGCCATGGATGCGATTCAAGGCCTAACAGTAGCAATTAATTTTTTCCCTTTAGAGAACCCTGCTAATGCATTAATTAATACCTCTCTATTGTCATTTCCTTGTGTTCATTAGACATCATCATTGGTTTAATTTTCTGTAAACCATTTCATGTGTTTCTCTCATTTTTGAATGTTGGTGAATTTAGATTTCCATATACATTATTAGTTCTAGCTTTTGTCCTAAAAAAGCAGCTTTTGGCAATGTACCATTTTATTTTTTGTGCCTCTGCATGAGGGAGGGGGTTGCCAGCAAGGACAAGTCGGGGGACTTGGGCCTCCATTGACCTGGCAAGCCTTTTTCAGTAGGCCAATTCCGTAATCATTGTATTGATTTTTTTTCTATCATCCTACAGTCTTTAGAGTGCAGTTTCTGTTATAGGAATTGAACCCAGGGCTCATTTGGCTTCCTGTTCACATCCTCTCCTCCACCTCCCATAAGTAGAAAATACTCCATATAGCAGAATGGAGCAGTCAGTTGGTTGCCCTCATCTTTACACATTTTTCATCTTAATAGTCAAAGCCAGAGTGCTGAGCCTATGAGAAGGAAACAAGATGAAATCTGAAATAAGTAGCTCATTTTGAGCTCTTGGGCAGCTACCAGTAGGGAGCATAATGGGACTTTTCCAGCCAGGGGGTCAGCCAGCCAAGTCCAGCCATGGGCGGGGGGGCCCGCGGCTTTTTTTTTTTTTTTTTTTTTTTTTTTTTTTTTTTAAGTTAAGGATTTGGAATGCAAATGTTTGTGTAGCTTTTCTCTCACAATGGGAAGAGAATCTTTTGTTGTTGGCCTGCAGGATGCCTTGCAGAGCCCTGGGCAGATACAGTAGGGAAAGTGGATGGTGGGGTAGTATCAATTTACAGGATTGGAGTAGGCTCATCTTCCCTCCCAGGGGTTGGGAGTCTGCATTCTGGTCACCTATGCACCTCTCTCTCTCTCTCTCTCTCTCTCTCTCTCTCTCTCTCTCTCTCTCTCTCTCTCTCTCTGTGTGTGTGTGTGTGTGTGTGTGTGTGTGTGTGTGTGTATGTTTGTGTGTGTGAGATATCTTCCCCAGCCACTGTCTACCTTATTTTTTGAGAGTCTGAGCTGAATCAGAAGCTCGCCAATTCAGGCAGTTGCCTGGCCAGAGAGATCCAGGGACCCTCCTGTCACTGCCTCCCCAGCCAGCTTTTGCATGGTACTGGGATGCAGATCCAGGTCCTCGGGCTTGTAGTCATGAGATGACCAAATGAATCCCTCATCAGCATCAGGATAGCAGCTTCAGCAGCCTCTTGGGTGTTAGCAGTTAGCATCTTGGGTGTACAGAAAATGTGTCTATCATATTGAGCGGTTCTCATGCTCATTCGAGAGCCCTTGAGCCTAACAGCAGTCACTCACCTGTCCATGCCTCAGTCTGTTCTTGTGTGAAGATGGCAGCCTGCGAGAATCCTGGCCTTGTGGTAGGAGAGTATGCATGAGAGTGGAATTTGCATCTATTGGATGGTAAATACGTGCATACAAAATGTTACATTGAGTTTAATGATCATTAAATGAATCTCTGTGAATCATCTTAAACCTGTTAAAATCTGTGTTGCATTCCAGTCCCGGGCTAGTGTGGGAGGACAAAAGTGATGTTCAGCTCTTACTGTGGTACTTACCAGTCACTTCCTTTCTGCATTTTTCATTCTGCTGCCTTGGGGCTCAAGAGCATGTCACAGTGAGAGAGAGTAGTCATGTGTGTCACACCACTCGTTAGGAATTCTTTGGTTTTGCGCATGTGGGTTCTACCTGATTTATTTACTGTTCTGTTTATTTGTATCTGTTTATTTAATAGACTGGGTCTTGCTATGTTTTGTTACGTAGCCCAGGTTGGCACTCTTCCATCCTCTTGCCTCAACCTCCCAAGTACAGGTGTACATACCATACCCAACTGATGGTTCTCTTTAAAAACATATTTTAAATTTTTTACATTTATTTAAAATGTTTTAAATTGCTTAAAATTTTTTGCAAGAACAGTCAGTGTTCTTAACTGCTGACCCATCACTCCACCCCCAATTTTTGAGTTTTTTATTTTATGTGATTGTTCTGCCTGTGTGTCTGTCTGTGCACCACATGTGTGCAATGTCCATGGAGACCAGAAGAACACATCTGTTGCAGAGGTTTTCTTATCCTTCAGGGTCCCACCTCCCTTCTCAGCCCCAAATAAACACACAGAGACTTATATTAATTATTAAACTATTGGCCGATCGCTAGGGCTTCTTATTGGCTAGCTCTGTCTTAACTATTAACCCATCTCTATTCATCTAAGTATTTCTACATGGCCTTATCTTACCGGAGAGTGTCTGGTGCATCCTATCCTCCCAGGGCCTCCATGGGGTCTCTTTCTGGTCTCCCTCTCTGCCTACCTTTCCCAGAATTCTCCTCATCTCCTAGTCCCACCTATCTTCCTGCCTCTACTGGCCAAACAGTGTTTTATTCATCAACCAGTAAGAGAAACATATATCCAGAAGGACCTCCCCCTCAGACATCATATCCCTAGGGGCTGGAGTTGCAGATGGTAACTGTGAGAAAGCCATTGTGAGTGCTTGGAATCCAACCTGGGTTTTCTGCAAGTGCAAATTGTGTTCAACTGCTGAGCCATCTTTCCAGCCCTTTGAGTATATTTTAGATACAGATAAATGTGTTTAAAAGGTAGTATGTTGTTACTGGGAATATAAGGTAGCTAAAAAGTGATTTACTCAGTATCAGCTACTTAACTATTACAGGCACAGACTCTGAGCCTGGGGTCATCCTCTATCGTCTTCAAAGGAAGCCTGGCCCATGGTAGTGGGTGTGAGCCATAAGCTGCCAGTCGTACTGTCTTTTACCTAAGTGAATCCGAAGAGAGGTGATCGTGTGTAACAATAACTCTTTCCACCAGCTGCCTGGGTTCTGCCACTGCTTTAGGGCCCCGAGATAACACACAGAGTCTTATATTAGTTACAGTGCTGCTGGCCAATGCCTAGGATTTCTTATTTGCTAGCTCAGTCTTAATTATCAACCATAACTACTAATCTGTATATTTTTATAAGGACTTAGCTTACCGAGGACACCAACCTTATGCATCCTGTCTTCCTGGGATCACATAGCGACTCTCTCCCTTTCCTACATTTCCCCAAATCCTCCTTCTCTCCTAGTCCCGCCTAATTTGCTTCCCTATTGGCCAACAGTGCTTTATCAACCAATAAGAGAAACATATACACAGAAGGACCTCCCCCATCAATATTTCTGTGACATGATTTCAGCTTCACGTCACACTGTCCCCCCTTTTCTTCCTTGAGTCATGCAGAACACAAGATGGCCCTTAGGAGGGCTCGGATTCAGGTGTTGCTTTTGAGATGTTTTGCCTTCCAGGTCCTCTTCACCCAGATCTCCAATTGTTCTTAAAGATCCAGATTGCCAGGCTGTTCCCAGCTCTAAATCTTTGTTAAATGTAGTGTTTAATGCCCTTCAGAAGAGTGTTTTGCTTTTTCTCCATGTTAATAAATGAAATCTCCACTTGAATGAGGGTTGCATCTATTCAATGATATAAACAGCCACATTGTCTGTGTTTATAGGCATTCATATCTCTCTATAGATGAGTTCATGAAGTCTGTCTTGAACACGGCCAAGATGGGATGGATAATTACATTATGGGCTTTGAATACCTCCAGGCCTGTGCTCATCCTCAGGTTCAGGTGCAGTCTAGGGTTGCTGAGGCTTGCACTCCTTGAGGCAGCAGATCCTGCCCATACTCACTTGCACCCAGACCTGCCTTTTCTGGGATACCCCTGCATCTACAAGCTGCAGTGTTGCTATTTCGAGCCTTGGAAACATGACTTAAACTTTCTCCATCTTCTTGTCCCCCTGTGAATTCAATCTTGCCATGTAGGAGTTGCAGCCCACTAAGGATGTGTGAACCTAAAGCCTCTATCCCCTGCAGTGTCAATGACCCCTCCAGGCTCACCGACTCATTACCCAGGGACAGCATGGCCTTGACGTTTAAGTAGTTAGGGAAATGAGAAATTCTGGGGGGCCCCTAGAAAATGTGTCATTCACCTTTGCAGCAGTCCATTACAGCAAACTTTTCTGTGAGACACAGAGCATCTTAGAGTAGATTCTCATTATCTGGCTCTCTCATTTCCTGTAGTTTTAGGGTTAGATGAAAATGTTTTAAAAATCACCAGGAAAAGCATAGCTGCATAACAACCACAACAAACCAAATCTTCCGAGTCAGCGAGGCAAAAAGCCCACTCAGAAAACTCATGTAGAATGTGAGGAGTCAAAATTGGCCCCAATCCAACAGCATGGATTATTAGTATACACTCAGCATAGTAAAAGCCAGTTGCAGTGAGCTTGGCTTTTTCCAAACAGGTGTGTGGGACACACACACACACATGGTGGCCTGGGCCTATGATAATGGATGGGTTGGGCATGTATCTCCAGGTAGAAAGTGACCATTTGGGCTCACTCAGGTAGAAAACCATCACCCTGCTTCATAGTGACCCCACTGCAAGTAAGGACAAGTACAAAGATCAATCCACGCCCACCAGGGCATTTGGTCACAGTGCTATACAGTAACGGACAGCTTCTAACACAGATGGTCATTTCTTCCTCATTATCTGTGCTGATTGCTGCTGAAAAGGGGATGCAGCTCATCTGGGATGCCAATGGTATTCTGGGTTTCTGTGGAAGATTAAACAGGATCATACCTTGAGTGTTTGTCTCTGCACTGAGGCCATCGTATTGGGTTGGGTATGCTGCTTTCGTTGGTATCCTTGATGGCTCGGTCCTTTCTTCTTCTGTCCCCTTTTCCCCTCATTGGACCCTGAATTAAGTCATTTGAATTAGGTTGCAAAGTGCCGGCCACTTCTGAAGTGGGACTTAGAGGTTTGTCATCCCCTCTCCCTGTCACCTCTGTGTTCTGCCACCCCGTTACCTTCCTTGCTAGCTCCTCTCAGCAAGGCTGTTTCTGGAAAGCATATGTTTGATACAAAACAGTAATGCTAAAAGATGATTGTTTTTGCCTCGTGCATAATACCTTCTTCTGTATGTATTTCATTGTTTTAGGAGTCTGAAGCTTTATTCCTCAAGGCAATTAAAGCAAATCCAAATGTTGCCAGTTACCATGGTAATTTGGGTAAGAAAGTTTTCCATTTGAATTGTGTTGAAATTCTGTGTTATTTTATATGTATATCTCTATGAAATCTTTTTTTTTTTGCAAAAGTAATTTTTGAAAGATAAACTGTATTGATCTCAAAAATGAGTTTTCATTAAATGGGTTGGTATTGCAGCTCAGTGTAGAGTGCTTGTCTTGCAGGCTGGGGCCTCACAGGCTGGGGTCCCCGAAGGCTGCGTGCCCTACACTCAGGCTCCAGGACCTCATGAGAAGCACTTCCTATAACCAGTCAGGGTTAGGATGCTAAAGATTCACTTTATTGTAGCATCATCTTACAGTTTGATTCTGATGTGAGATTCCCAACTTCAACCTAGAAACACAGCCATCATTTTTCCAAAAGGTGTGTGGAAATCTTCACTTAAAATAAAATGTTGGGTTTATAGAGACAGCTCAGCAGTTAAGTACATTGGCTACTCCTGCAGAGGACGCAGACTTGGTTCCCAGCACCCATGTGGAGGCTCACAACTCCAGTTCCAGAAGACCTGACGTCTTGTGGCCTCCATAGGCACCAGGCACCGAATGCATGTGGTACATGTACATACACACGAGATAAGAATAAATAAATCTAAAATATAGAATAAATTGTGCTTTTTTAAATATGAAGAATAAAATAATAGCCTGAGCTCAGTGCAGTGCTGACTAGCTAGAAGTTTCACAGCAACATTGAAACAGTCACGGCCCTTCTTTTTTGTAATAACATTTCTGGAAACACGTGAGTCCCATCTAACAATAAGAAGAACCCCATGAGTAACAGGCAGGGGTCCAGGGGCAACTCCCCAGGGTGTGTGATTACGATAAACAAAGCTTACAGTACAAACAATATTTTTTTTTAAATAGTGGTTTCTGTAAAGGCTCCACAATAGTTCTTTGTGCATGTGTTTGGGAATCCTGCAAGTTAGTCAGAAGCTCTTCCAAGCAAATTCATCTCCTGCTATTTCAGCTGTGCTTTATCATCGCTGGGGACATCTCGACTCGGCCAAGAAACACTATGAGATCTCCTTGCAGCTCGACCCCGTGGCAGCAGGCACCAAGGAGAATTACAGTCTGCTGAGAAGAAAGCTAGAACAAATGCACAGAAAAGATGGCTGATCTCCCCTCACTGTTTTGAGTTTGTGTGTATGTGCACATGAGGCCTCGGTTCAACGTATACATTTGGGTTTAGCCATTTAAAGTTCTCAGACTTTGTGTTTATTACACTGTTATTTTTTTTCCTCTATGAAAACAAATACATGCAAAAAGATTATAGCACCAGCAATACACTCTTGAATGCTTGAGAGGACTTTTGACATTGAAATTGTATTTTTTCAGACTACCCAAATGTAATTCTAAAATCTCAAAAATGAAGCCTTTTTGTTGTTGTTTTTTTAACTAAACAGAAAAAAAGGAGAAAAAAGTCATCCTTAGCAACTTTTGCTCATGTTAAACCTGCATTTGGGGTGTGACTGTCACGATGAGGAGGCGTGACCTAGCCATGGCCAACTCCCACCACTTACATGAGCATCATGTATCTTATGTGTCTGTGTGTTAGCATATTTATTTAATGATAAGAAAGTAAATTAAGATTGGGGGGTTTTATGTCTCTTTGCAATAGTATAACTTGAAGTTATTCACTCTTTCGTGTTGAACGGGATAACTAATGGAATGAAGAAGGGAAATTTTTAACATCTGTCATATCTGTATTTTTTTTCTTTCATAGGAAGGTATTGACTCCCAAGCTTTTTGGAGTATGTGTGTGTGTTCCAACATGTATGATGTTAGTATATAGGATAATGTTCTACAGAAAACTGCCACTGGTGGTACAGCAACCCTGCTGTGTTTAGGCAAATACAGGCAGTTTAATGTCTTGGTTTCTGTTCTGTCCAGGGTTCAGAGGTCTGTGTTTTTATGTTTTTATCTGTGGAGTGGGTTCCCATTTCACGTAATGTACCTACAGACATTACTCTATCCAGAAAATGCAAAAAGGTAAATTTTCTTACAAAAGAAGTCCAACTTCTGGATTGTGTGATGTTTTTTAAGAATGTGTTGGGTTTTTTTCCCTTGTCTTATTAGACCTCAACCATTTGTTTAGTTTGTTTTTTATATATTGTTGACCTAATAACTTATTCAATCCCTGTAATTTCTATGGCAGTAAAATCATCACACAAACGGGCATGAAATGGTTGAAGTTTCTTCTTGGTAGTGAATGTTTTTGTTGTCTCTCCCCCTGACAGTGGCATCGACTCTTTTCTAGTATATGACTGGTGTGTAGTTTTAAGGCCCACTGTTCATTCTTTTTCCCACCACTGTGACAAGACACCTAACAGACAGTGGAAGGGTGGAAGGGCTTAGTTTACCTCACAGTTTCAAGGTTCAGTCTGCTGTGACGGGGAAGGTGTGGCAGGAGCTTGGGGCCGCTGTCATGATGCAGTCAGGAAATGGAGCAATACATGTCACGGGGCTGCTCCGCTTGCCCTTTATGTGCTGCAGGTCTCCTGCCGAGGGTGCTGCGCCTGTGGGGTGCTGCCATTCACATCTGTGCTGGGTCTACCACCTCTAAACCTCTAAAAACACCCTTCCTGGGACACGGGTTTCTCTCAGAATTCAGTCAAGTTTACAATCAAAATAAACCATCACAGGCCTATTTTATAGGTTTATGTTAGGAAGTTCCCAAAGTTCAGGTAGTGGGATGCATAGATGCGTATTGGTAGATTTTATTCTCTGTGCTCACTTTTGAAATGCAATTTTCATTTTTTTTTAATTAAAAGCAAGTGCAGACATGAGCCTATTGGTGTACATCTACCATCCTGTCTACTCAGGGGGATCACAAATGCAAGGCCTTCCTAGGTTGTAGAATGATTTCAAGACCACATGGGGCAACTTGGAGAGATCCTGTCTCAAAGAATAAAAATAAAAATGACAAGTCTGTTAAGTCATGGGAGAGAGAGAGACTGTGTGTGTGTGTGTGTGTGTGTGTGTGTGTGTGTGTGTGTGACTTATTAGATTGGTTTACACAGTACTTTCTGTATTGTCCAAGAATGGCTGTCTTCACAATAGAGAGGCTCAGAACTGTTGCTGCTTGGTTCACAAAGCTGTTCCTCAGCAGTCCCAGTCTGACACTGTAGGCCAGGAGAGTTCCTAGAGAGTCACTGGTCTAAAGCCCACATTATAAAGCTAAAGAAAGTGGGTTCTCTTATCAGTGAGGGAAGGCAGGGGCAGTGGCAGCCGCAGAGCGGATGAACTCACCAGCAAGGTGCAAAGGCAAGCCAACAAAGGCAAGCTTTTTCCTGTGGACCTCCTTGCACCAGGGCTGCTGCAGGGCCACTGGGCCCACAGTTAGGATGAGTCTTGCCACTTCATGTATCCTGATCAAGGAGATTGCTCAAAAGTGGACCAAATGGAAGACCTAAGTTTATAGTAATATCTGCATATTGTAGACCATAACCAGAAGGGATGGGAGTGCCTTCTGGGGACAGCTGGGTAGAGTTTTAGACCAGCAGTTGTACTTTCTAGTAGTGGGAATACATCAGCAAAGAAAATGTTATATCTCAAATATTGCTTTAAACAGTTTATAGATCTTTTACAATTGGAGGTGTATTATTATTTATCTTCCTATAGGGCCTAGCTTGGCAAGAAAAAAAAAACATATGCTATGTAGCTTTTTTTTTTTTAATGCTACTTGGTTGTTTTTTGTATTGTTTCCGAGTAAAGAATATTTTTTCTAAAAGCACCTTTAGGAAACCTTTTTTTTCCCCCTACTGATAAATTCTCACATCCAGTCTCCTTTCTACAGAACAAATCCCCTAAACTCTTGTTGGTTTGCTCATCAGGATTCCTGTGCAGCTGTTTTCCTGGGGGGCGGGCGTGGGGGGGGTGGGGGGCATTTGGTTGTTTTATACTTCAGGAAGCATTTCCTGACTGCAGATTTTGGAAGTCCATTATGGTAGGCCCTTTTTCTTTTCTCCTGTCCTAAGAGAGCTATAGTATGTTTCTTGATTATCCTAAGACTGAAATAGAAGGCTGCCTTCTATTTGCTGAGTACTTATGTGTGTGTGTTTGTTTTAAAACAGGGTCTTGCTACACAGCCCCCTGCTGGCCTCAAACTCATGGTTCTCTGCCTCATCTTCCCAAAGAGCTGGAATTACAGACAGGCACTGTCACACCTGGATAATCGTTTTTTATTTAATTTCAATGTTTGATTGTTAATGATAGATGGGGGCAGCATTTAAACATGAGGAAATCTGATTACAGTCCTTCAGTTCCTTGGGCATACTTGTTTCTCAGTTCAGCATGTTGTTACTTTGGGGTTTCTGCCTGGGCTGTCACTCACTACAATTTGTTTACACTTTGATGCAGACTTGTATTTGTTCTTTTAAATTTCATCCTATTAGGCACAGCCTCACACCCATATCTCTTACGGGGTCTTCTGGCTGAGTCTCATGTTAATCTAGCATGTTCGTTGGGTATGATTTCAAGACTGACTTGAAATGTTGTACAGAAGACAACTCTGTATCAAAACATTGGGCATCTGTGTCCACATTCCTGTTCAACCTGCCTGGATCTGGAGGTGACAGATGTGCCTTGGTCCTCCCAGTGTATCATCCTAGGCGACACACTTCTCACATTTAAGACTTGTTTTATGAGAAGGTAAGAAGCTCCTGTCTCCACGTCCCTAGTACTGGGATTAAAGGCTTTTCATTTCAAGTGTCAGATCAACAAAATGATGAGTGATGGGTAATTGGGAATGTACTGTGTATGTTTATCTTATTGATTGTTAAATAAAATACTGTTTGGGCAATGAGACAGCAAGTTAGACGGGACTAGGAGTCAAAGAGGATTCTGGGAAATGTAGTATAGAAGTGGTGATCCAGGCAGGAAGTGACATAGCAAGGAGACTCATACTTAAGCGAAGGGTCCCTCTTCCCCTTCCTCCTTCAGCGGCAGGATGTGAGCCACCAACAAGGAGGGACGCCAATAAGGCGTCCGATAAGTCTTATAAAATATATAGATTCATGATTACTAAGACTGAGCTAACAGATGAGGAATCCTAGTCATTGGCCAAGCAGCTTTGAACCTAATACAAGTCTTTCTGTGTATTCATTTGGGCCCTAACTCGGGCGGGCAGCTGGCGTGGGGCTCAGCGGCTTCGGAAAGATTTATCGTAACAGATGGGCTCCTGATCAAGGCATCACTGAACTTCAACTTCCCTCCATCACCTCCTCCCTCACTTGGTGTCCCCCAACCCTTTGTACTTTCAGTCCCTTCTCAGGAAATGAAGACTTAAATCCCATAGCTATTGAAGAGCAGAGCATGCTGAAGTTGGGACTCCTGTAGCCTAGGGCACCAAAAATGGGGCCTTGGGGCCCCTGGAAAAGAAGATCCTGTAGCCTCACATTCCTCTGGTTGGGAATAATCAGTGCTTGATTGTTCGTGCTTCTGATGCAGGTTACAGGACACACACAGAACCAACTAGGACCACGTCCTTTCCCAGCCCAAGACGCTTGGTGATGACGTTGATCTGCAAGGTGGGCTCCAGTCACCACAGAAATGTTCTCCCGGTTTACCTCACTCATCAGATTTCTCTTGCCCACCTGCAACACTCTGCTTTGCATATCATCTGAAAGTTCTCTTTTCTGGCTTCCTCCACCCATTTCTCCAGCAGGAGCTGAAGCTTACATGTGTTCTCAAAGCTAAGCTGCAGGTAGGTCCTCAAAGCAGCAGATGGTTTTCTGGCTGAACACCTTTCTAAGGAGAACAGTCGAGGTGAGCACCATGTCAGCCTAAGTGTACCCCAGGGTGATCTTCTTCAGCTGTTTGGGAAAATGCTCTAGTTCTTTCTTTAGAGCCTTCATGTCCTGTGACTCCTCCAGACTTGGTTCCACCTTCTCCACCTTCATGGTACTGGGGAGGACAGTACATGGACCATGAGAGACCCCCCTCCTTGTTGCTCTCCATTCTGACTCTTGTGTGGCTCTCCGGCTGCGAAGTCTCTGGGCCAACTTGGGGCATTAGGCCCCCTCCAACCTGAAATCTACAGTATGCCATCCCTCTACATAACTCATGTGGCTGCAGACGTAGGGATATCCCCAACACCTCTTGAGCCTGGCTCAGGTGCTGGCCCAATTCCAAGCCCAGCTGGAGATGCTTGGGAGCTTAGCCAGGTCCAAGGATCCACCCAATGTAGCTCCTGCTCTCCTGTTCCATCACTCCCAACTAGTGGGGGTGGGAAGACAAAGTAGCTATGGGGAGGAATGAGAAGGCTTCTTAGCTCTGCCTTCGGAAATGTAATTTGCCATACTCCCCTGCAGTGATGGGGTCTATGTACTTGTACACCACACTTTGGGAGTTGAAATTGTCAGAATCTTGATAAAGGCTATGCCAAATCCTCTGCCCGTTATTGTTTACACCACTGGAACATTCCCTCACTGCCACACCAACTGCGTAATTACATCAGGAGACATCATCCATTTCTCCACTTGGTCACATACACAGCACTAAGCTTTTGCAATGTTATTACAGACGTCCACTTTTACAGTTTATGCTCTGGTAACTCCAGATTTAAAGGTCTCAATTTCCAACCCATTTGTGGTACCGTAATAGAAGTTCTGTGAAGGTAGTGTAGTAAGTAATTTAATCTCCCAGTAGCTGCTGTGGGGACCTTTTTTTTTTTTTTTTTTTTTTCTAGCAACTGTAGTTTTTTTGGGAGGGTATTTTTAAATCAAAGCATTCATTTTCTGAACCTTTCCTTTCAAGCAGATTAGCCAGTCATGTCAGAGTGAGCCTTCCCTCCCACCAATGGTATGAGACTCAGTTACTACCTACCTGTCTGGAATAAAAGATGGGAGCCATCTTGGCCGTGGTGCTCTTGCCAGCCTGCTTTGGGTTTTGGTGCACCCTTCTTACAAAGAGAAAATAATTGCCTTGTTGAGGTACTTGAACATTGTTCACATGTGTCTTTGTGAGGTGCTGAGGTTATTCTTTGTTTCTACCAAGCTTCCCCAGTGAAATGGGAAATGCTTTTCAGAGAAGAATGAGGTTTAAGCGGTGCATAGACACACAAGCTAAACACCCATAGATAAAAAAAAAAAAAAAAACCATCCTGATAAGTGTTTTCATGGTAGCTTTTACTCCTCAGCAAGCAATATGGTATGGTTGGAAGAATTTGGGAACAAGAC